AGTTTCTCTGCGCTCACTGAATATTTGATTTTAAGGGGCGGGGCTTACGAGCATAATTTGTGACATCACAAATAGTTTGGCCATCAATGAGGATTTTAATGTGGAAATTTTTTTGTGGAAAAAAAACATCACATACACCTTATTGTTCCTAGCAGACTGTTTGTATATTGTCGTAATATATGTCTGAAAGACAGCTTCCAGAAAATACACCTTCAGTAAAATACTTTTTTTTTTGTTCCTTTTTCCAGGTTGACCTCCACTTCCTGAAGGTTTTGACGGGCATCGCCACACAGGGCGCCGTTTCCAAGGAGACACAGAAGTCCTATTACGTCACCACCTTCAAACTGGAGGTCAGCACCAACGGGGAGGACTGGATGGTCTACCGGCATGGCAAGAACCACAAGGTAGGCTTTTCTACACACACATAACCACATGCATTCTGACCTAAAAAAAATTGACTCCACGAGCTCCACAACCCTACCTAACCAGAATATGAACCTGTAGTTACAAGGCCCTCTTTCTCTGACCTTTTTACTACCATCATGATATGCTCTCCAACAACAGAGGCAGTTGTGTGTGTCCACATCACTGGATGCAACATTCCTGAAGGAGTCGTTCCCCTTCGAGGACTGTTTATGAACCTGAGTCATGACCCTAGTCATGAGGAAGAGAACAAGGGAATGGGAGGGAGGAAGAGATATAGATAGGAGAGAGGAGGGGAAGCTGACAAACAAGAACAATAGAGTCCTCTATGTGCCCTTATCTGGGCTCGCTATTCATCATCTCTCACACACCAACGCACACAAACACACACCTGGGATATGGAGTCATACCAGGTGGGGTAGGAGCGAGTTTGCATCATAGCAACGTTATTTCTAAGATTGGTGGCGTTTAGTGCTTCAATCGAGCCTCACTTTATCTGTCCTTGTTTGTTTGTGTGTGCGTTAGGTGTGGGGTATTGGATTCACACACAGGCTTGTGTATGAATGCATTTACAGTGCAGGTTGTTGTTGTTGTAGTCATGGTGGGAACTACAGTAAGCCCGTCTCCAGGGGATTTGAACTCTGCCCCTCGTATCTGGGTTAAGGTCACTGTGGATTTCAAGCAGAAAAAAATAGAGTGCTAAGGGTGGGGGTGGGGGGGGGGTGTGGAGGGTTAATCCACGCACACTTACCCACATGGACTGGGGCCCCCCTTCTGTATGTGCCAGTGATTGGTTTGGGTGGGGCCAGTGGGGGGTATTTGATGTGGAGATTATTGAGCGAAATGTGGATTTGACTTAAAAAGTCAACATCTGTGCAATTTATTAGAACCCCCCAGATGCCCCCCACTCCTTCCACATACACGCACAAAATCTGCAGACCCCCCCTTTAAATAACCTCTGGCTGATCTCTCTGTCTGGAGATCTGTGTGTAAGTGCGTGTGTGCGCATATGTATATGATGTGTGCCTGTCTGTCTGTACCATGTAATCTGAGTCCACTAATCTGTCTGTGCAAAAAAAAATACTCTTCAGACACTTTCAGACATGGATTCAGACAGATGCATCAACACGCATTTGAGAGAGATACCGCTTGTACTATGAGTGGTTGGTTTGAATCTTTAAATTGGTTATGTTTTCAGCTTTTAGAATGTCCAGCAGGAAGATGAAAAATCAATTAAAGATAGCAGATTTGTGTTATAGTGTGAAAAGGGCTGGAGTGTGTGCAGTGGAAGATCTACAACTCAGTTCTTTTTGATGGCTAACAATGAATCCAAGTCCACACATACGGCTTGGTATTAAGTGAAGCCAACCAAAGATTATCTTTATTCTTCAAAACCAAGTTGAAAACAAATCAAGCCTGCTATTTCTACTAATAGAACATTACATTATCAACATAAAATGTAGATATCATCAAGTGTACCATCTGTTTTTGATGATCATAAAGAAAAGATGACAGCTGCAACATTTGCTCCGTGCGTGATGGGGCTCTCAAATTCTACTTAAAATCCACAAGGATTTATTGTGCATTCAGGTCCTCCCATGTATAATATAAAGGCAAGGCATCTCCAGTTACCTGGGATAAAACTTCCTCTTTGTATTTTTTGCAGACCACAGACACTGATGGATGGATGGGTTTCGGGAATCACGTTTTTTTGACAAATTGCACAATTTGCACTCATGATTCCAGCTTGGCCTGACTTCATAATGCTTAGTTCAGTGTCAGTCAAGTTCTCCTCTTGTCCCGGTGGGCTGCAGTTGAATCTTCCGTGACTGCTAATCCATCAGTCATGTTGTACACACTACCAGTTAGCCCGTCCTAAGCCCCCCAAAGAGCACTTAAGTGGTTGAAGCTCAGTTCTCGTCAGGGGGTCCTGTAATGACTGGGATTTGGTTCTTTTAATTGTCATTTAACAGTGAGCTTGAAGCTAATGTGGCTTTGGGAGAGTGCACATGCATGCGTCGGCAGTGTTTGTGGAAGGTTGAGCCACGAGTGTGTCTGAGCATCAGATATGAATCACCCATGAATAAAAGGATTGGCTTGGCAGTTCGTACCTCGCCGTGTTTGTTATTGGGAGAGAGCTCGTTGCCATTTATTGTCAAGATTTGTGTCCTTATTTGCTGTGTTAACAAAGAGCGACGGATTTAATGCCAATAAAGATTATTTGACAGAAGAGGCAGAGGCAGAGTGAGAGAGAGGAGCTGAAAAGGGAAAGGCATTGTGGGAAATAGTGCTTTTTTGTGGAGCTGCAAGAGAAAAACACCAGCGCTGCAGATTGCAATCACCTCAGTCACACCAGCAAACCGGCTTTGTGCATGTGTGTGTGTCTGTG